CTTCAGACCCTTTTTCTGAAGAAGGGTCTAGGCCCGAAACGTCAGCCTTCCTGCTCCTCCGATGCTGCATGACCTGCTGTGTTCATCCAGCTTTACACCTTGTTATCTCAGATTCTCCAGCATCTGCAGTTCCTACTATCACTGAAACAGCATAAAAGGAAGACATTTGGCCCATATGGACACCAAGTTCTTCCACAACACCCCACCCTCCCAATCATACAATTCTCTTTATGTTGCCTCAACTGAATCTGCCTCTACATGATCGGGCAATACTTTCCAAATTAAAAATATTTGTTCCTTAGATTGGTACCCTCTGGTTCTTGAAAAAGAAATGTTTTCTCCTATCTATCCCCAATGTTGCTGAACACTGCAAAAAAAATTCTTCTTAATCATCTCCAAGGACAACAGCCTCAGTTCCTACAATGTAGCTGCATAGCTTAAGTTAGTCAAATCTCAGAACCATTCTCAAATTGTATCTGCACCATACATGATTCCTTTATATCCAGGAACATCATAATGTCCTTACTATTGTATAATATTTTGTCGTTTTTATAAAACCCAGGCTTCACGGTGGCTCAGTGGTTAGCACTGCTGCCTTACAGCACCAGGGACCTGGGTTCGATTCCACCCTCAGGCAACTGACTGTGTGGGAGTTTGCACATTCACCCTGTGTCTGCGTGGGTTTCCTCTGGGTGCTCCAGTTTCCTCCCACAGGCCAAAGGTGTGCAGGGTAGGTGGATTGGCCATGCTAAATTGCCCATAGTGTTCAGGAATGTTTAGGCTAGGTGGGTTAGACATGGGGAATGTGTCTGGGTGGGATGCTCTTCAGAGGGACAGTATGGACTTCTAGGGCCAAATGGCCTGTTTCCAAACCGTAGGGACTCTACGAATCTATGTGCTTTATTAACTGCATTCTGCTTGCGCTTTCATCATCGATGAATTGTGCAAATACACGGTCAGTGGAAGCAAGCAGCAGGCAAATCCCATGAAAATATGTGAATCATAGGAAGGATAATCCAGGGAGTTTATATTTAAATTGAATCCTTCGTCAGGAGATAAATTATGTAACCGATAATCTTATTAATCACATTTTGGATATGCAGTTTAGGTAATGCTGTGGCAGCATCAGTTTACACATTTGTGTACAGAAAATAGTACTGTTGCTGTATCTGGAATTCCTCCAATATATTCAAAAGTTAATTAGAATAAATGTTCAATTAGAACGTGTATGTTGAAATACTTGCAGAAGCACTTATATATGCTTTATCTATTACAGATGCAGGTGACAATAGTACAGTAGTGATATGAGGAAAATTGAAAGTAATGGATAATATTACGTTTAAATTAAAACAAAAGCAGTGACAGTTCCAATCTCAGAGGAATCAACACATATCTCAATTGGAATGGGAAAAAGAGAATTGGCATCTTGATTCAAACAGTGATACAGAACATTGGTAACCAGATTCATTGGACAGCAATTAATTTATGCTATATCGAAACAGCAACAAGGGCTTTTGTGGCACAGTGGTAGCATCCCTACCCTTGGGCAAGGCAGCCTGGGCTCAAGTCCCACCTGCAGCAGAGGTGTGTAATAATACCTCTGAAGAAGTTGATTACAGAAACAGGTTCAATTAAAAAAAGTTAAAAATCAGAACAGCAGCAAACAAAATGCTGTCTTTCCATAAGAAAACTCATTGTAACTCATCAACATTTGAAAACAAAGAGATTAACATGTAATTAGCTTCTTGTGCTTTGATCATAGAGTCATAGAGCTGGACAGCACGGAAACACATCCCTCGGTCCAATTCGTCCACGCCAACCAGATATCCTAAAGTAATGTAGACCCATTTGCCAGCATTTGGCCCATATCCTTCTAAACCCTTCCTGTTCATGTACGCATCCAAATGCCTTTTAGATGTTGTAATCGTACCAGCCTGTCTCTGTTTGGCTTGTGCAATTATCGATGTGTTATCCCCGTCGAATTCTTGTCCCTCTGTCCCAAACAGAGACATGCCAGGGAATTCCTGGAGACCTGGTATTCCAATCAGAACTCCAACAAACACATTAAATTAGACCCTGTGTACAAACGACCAAGAAACAAAACTGGACATAATACCAATCACCCCAGGAAAGAGAGATATATAAATAAGCAGCACAGAACACTGGCACTTCACCGGACGTGCACTGATGATGTCACCTAGCAGGGAGACGAAACGTTTGCAACCAAACCCACCAGCTCAGTTAGCTGTCTACAACTTCATCCACAACACAAGCTATAAATCTTCTCAAAAACTTTATGTGTGCCCTCATACCTGGAAAAACAAGCTGGTGTATTTAACACGTGTGAACCCGTTATGTCCACAATTCTGTGATCTTTTACGCCATGTAATAACGGTACAATGTGGAGGCCATTATGAATTTCCTCAGGTAAAATTACATATTTAAGAGACTTTCACAGAACACAGAACAGTACAGCACAGTACAGGCCCTTCGGCCCACGATGTTGTGCCAAACTTTTACCCTAATCCTAAGGTCTAGCTAACCTCCACCCTTACCTTATACTATCATCCATATCAGAGATAGTAGGAACTGCAGATGCTGGAGAATCCGAGACAACAAGGTGCAGGGCTGGATGAACACAGCAGGCCAAGCAGCATCATAGGAGCAGAGAGGCTGACGTTTCGGGCCTAGACCCCTATCATCCATATGCCTATCTCATAGCCGCTTAAATACCCCTAATGAGGCCGACTCCACTACCCTCTCTGGCAATGCATTCCACACCCCGACCACACTCGGAATAAAGAGCCTACCTCGGACGTCTCCCCTATATCTACCTCCACTCACTTTAAAACTACGCCCCTTCATAATAGCTACCTCCACCCTAGGAAAAAGTCTCTGGCTGTCCACTCTATCTATACCTCTGATCATTTTGTACACCTCTATCAAGTCACCTCTCATCCTTCGTCGTTCTAAAGAGAAAAGCCTGAGTTCTCTCAACCTTTCCTCATAAGACCTTTCCTCATAAGACCTTCCCTCCATTCCGAAAACATCCTGGTAAATCTCCTCTGCACCTTTTCCAACGCTTCCACATCTTTCCTGTAAAGAGGCGACCAGAACTGGACACAATACTCCAGATGTGGCCGAACCAGGCTTTCGTATAGCTGGAGCATAACTTCACGGCTCTTGAACTCAATCCCTGTATTAATGAAAGCTAACACACCATACGCCTTCTTAACAACTCTATCCACCTGGGTGGCAGTTTTCAGGGAACTGTGAACATGAACCCCAAGATCCCTCTGCTCCTCCACACTGCCAAGAATCTTTCCGTTAACCCTGTATTCTGCTTTCAAGTTTGTCCTACCAAAATGAATCACCTCACACTTTTCAGGGTTAAACTCCATCTGCCACTTCTCAGCCCAGCTCTGCATCCTATCAATGTCCCTTTGTAACCTAGAACAGCCCTCCACACTATCCACAACTCGACCCACCTTCCTATTGTCTGCGAACTTACTAATCCACCCTTCCACTCCGTCATCCAAATCATTTACAAAAACCACAAACAGAAAAGGACCCAGTACAGATCCTTGCTGCTGTTTCGATATAGCATAAATTAACTGCTCTCCAATGATTCTGTTTATCAATTCATAAAATCTAACTAGTCAGCACCTTAAAATATATGATACATTTTCAATGGATTCACATGTGCATTAGGAATAAAATCATTTAAGAAGTAATACTTACTGATTAAAGAGTATTCGGGAACGAACAATGAATTTGAAGACATATTCTAAGGATTTCATCGCTTTATAAAGTTGATCTGTCACATTAGGTTTCTCTGAATTGTCCACATAGTTTTTCAGTACTGTGGTAAGTTTCCTGATTAAAAATAAGACTTAGTTCAATGCATCATTTACACATGTCCCGTTTCTTGAGAGAATTAAACCAAACAATTCATTTTCTTCAAAAAGACTGATGACAGACTGTTCCCACCAAACATTTCTACAAAACCAAATGACTACATTTCAATGTAGTAAATGCAATGCATTTTTTAAAAGATGGGTCATAGATGCCACCAGCGCAACATTTGTTGTGCATCAACATTTGCACTTAACTGAATGACTTCTCAGCCATTCCAGATAGCAATTAAGAGTTAACTACTTTACTTTTCACCTGAGAGTAACACATAGGCTGGACAAAATAAAGATGGCAGATTTGCTTCCTGAAAGGACGAGTGAATCCGATAATTATTTTTAAGACAATCCATAGTTGTGGTCATTATTTTTGAGATCAGCTTTCAATTCCATGTTTATAAATCAAGTTTACATTTCATCAGCTGCATGGGATCATAGATGTACTGCAAAACTATTGCCTGTTAATTTCTCCAGGCATCAATTTGTACTCTAAGTGAGGCACTGAAAGTTAAACAAAAATATGGGAAGACTTGGACTATAGACCTGCCTGTTTTGAAACTTTCTGAATTCATTTCTGTTAGTCTCCTAACATCTAGCAGGAATGAGAGAATTTTAACATCCTAACTGCTCCATTCCATCAAGAATAAGCCGAGAGACTAGCAATAAAAGGATTATGGTCATCAGAGGTTTTTTTTGTAAATATCTTAATTTCCACAAATACTCCATTGTAGAAGCCCATTACTTTCTGCTTATAACACAACATACTTTCAATAGAATGGTAAGAATGGTGAATTTGTCCCATAAAAAGAAGAAAATCCCAATTCACACTACACTCCAGTAATCTTTAACATGACATTCTAGACTGTTTTAATTATACCAGATCTTATACCATCCAGAATAGCATTTCCTTATTAGGATTTGTTAGCAAGCTAGGCCGTTCTAATGTGCAAATAGTATTACTGACATAGAAGAAAGGAAGCTATGCTCTTTGAGGGTATTATTCTTAATAGCAATATCACCAAACAGAAGTTTGTGAACCAAAAACAGAAATTGCAGGAAAAGCTCAACAGGTCTGGCAGCATCAGTGGAAAGACATCACAGTTAACATTTCAAATCGAGTTCTCATTCCTCAGAACGGAGCTTTTCCAGCAACTTCTGTTTTTATTTCCGATTTACAGTATCCGCAGTTCTTTCGGTTTTTAGTTAGAAGCGTGAACTACTTTGTTGATCAAAATAAAGTGTCAGACAAATGGATACCCATCTCAATAGAGTCTCCAGATAAAGAAAGGAGCATAAACATCCAAGCCAAAATTACACATGACATTGAGAAGAATGTGAAAGCACTGGCATCACAAAACATTGCTTCTCTTATTCTCGTAAGTGAAGAGGTCACATGGTAAAAGGGTGCAAAATGAAAGAGTAAAGATATGGCAGCAGGATTTCCAGTGAAAATCTAACTACTAAAGGAACACATATAAAAGGGAATTGTTTGAATATGTGCAGATTCAGAATCAGCTCAAGAATAAAGGATAGCAAGAAACAAAGAACAGCAACTTAAGTTAAAGTCATGACTCCAGCAAAAATGCTTTACTCCCTGTGCAGCTAAGGGCCAATACAACGCTGTTGGATAAAGAGCACAGAACAAGTGAAAAAAAAGTAACTGAAGGGGATGAATCAATTTCAGTTAGTTAAGTGTTAAATTTTCAGTTATATTGTAAAGAAAATAGAATCACAGAAATGCAAAGGTAGGCTCACAGTGCAAAAGCTACACCATCAGCAAGTTAGAGCTGGGCTTGGGTAAAATACAGACGATGTCAGTGAAAAAACTTTAGGAAAACAACAGATAGTGTAATATGTATGTTGGAATGTTTTGTTCAAACCTTGGAGGTGGCTGTAACCCACCAGAGTTAGTTTTACACTTCATGGTGATAAAACCGACTTGTTCTACATACACACAATATAAACAATTGTTAACCCGATTTCCTGGTCCTCTTTTCAATTTGTTGAGTTGTTTGGTCACAGTAACCTCTACAAAGCTCCACAAACAACATATTTTTGGAATAATATGTTCATTTTAATACTTCCTCTTCTCCAGGCATCCATTTGGGATTGAAAATTACTTGCATCTACCCTGTTCAATGGGTGCTAAAATAGTTGATAATGCCAACGTGTAATCTGTAGATTACGTGGCAGGTGGTACTTCAAACGTTGAGTTGAAGAGTTATTTACAGACTTGTTTGGTCCATTCAATGCCTTAACTTTATCTCTGCACATTCCAGGTGTTTAGTGAAAAGCCATGTTCTTTTATGTTTCGGAGAAGGCTTCGACAGTAACGTGAGAGTGTAGCCATGCTGATTTTTGTAATCATTTTAACCGGTTCTGTTTTCAGAACTATGGGTTCTTACTTTTCATAGGACGGTTTGCCACCTAGAAAGGCAAACAATTGCACCTCAAGGATTCTGTTAGAAATCTTTGGACTTGTTTTCTTTAAGCTTAGGAAACAACCATAACTTAATGAGAAGGGAAACATTTTCAGTTTTAGTTTTAGTTTTAAACATTTCTGAATAAGTTTTATCATACGTAAAGTTGTTCCTGAGAAAGGGAGAAGCTAGTTAGATTTATTTACATTAAGTTACCTTAGAATGAAGAGTTAGTGATAGCCCCAGATCACAAGTATTTGGACAAAACATGGAAGAGGCTATTTGAAGCTGAGAACATTTAAGCTCAAGTGTATGATAACTTCAAGAATAAGCTCTCGGATTTTCCATACTAGGAGTTGAAGTCAAATGAAAACTATTGATATGATATAGATTTGGATACTCTGGTATGACTGTTATGTAAGGGGTGCTTTGGGTACTATACAGGCCATTTCAGAATCTGTCTGTAAATGGTTTTTGGGATTAGTAAGATTATAGTTCACCCTGCATTCCAACATTTTTAAGTTTGTGTTATAAATAAATATGTTGGTTAGTTCTATTTAATATTCATTCTTTTTAAAGAAAAACAAAAGAAAATATGACCTATCAAGCCAGATTTCAGTCTGCGAGCTGACTTGTATAGTAATAACATCATAACAGTAAAAACACTAGCTCTCGTCACAAAAAGCCAACTAATCAGAAGGCATGAATATGCATGCAGAATTTAAAGCAGAGATCACTTGAAACACTTACGTGTAAGCCAAGGTTGCGCTAAAGTGCTTTTTGATATAGGTTTCAAGTACAGGGTTGAAATGCTGGAATTTCCTATCAGCAATAAGTCCAATAATAAATACCTGTATTTTGCAAAAAGGGTTGAAACAAACAGCATTCATTGAGACTATAACTTAAGTCTGTATCTTATTGCTTAGTGTGTTATAGATGGCAAATTAGATTGTAAAAATAAAACAATAAAAATACACTCCAAATAATTGATCTTAAAATAATTTTGCTACATTTGACATTATTTTTCTCCAAAAGATGGGCATGACTCTGCTCTTTGTAAAACAAAAAAAAAACAAACAAAAAAAAAACTTGCATTAAAGCTTATATAGCATTTTTAAATAGTAAAGTTGCTTGGGACATTTTGCATGAGTCTACTAAACAATATTGCGACACTCAGCCACATAACGGAGATATTAGTTCAGGGCACAAAAGCTGCAAAGTTTTTTTTTAAAAAAACTCCCCAACCCCCTCAGCACACACAACCTGAGCTTCCCTTTTATTATTTTCTGCTTATACTCCAAGTCATTCCTACTCCCTAAATCCCTAATAGTACCCTCATGTCACCTCCTTGTTTTTCCAATTTCAGCATTTTCTTCATCAAAGTAAAATAACAGGTAACGAAGTGAAGATTTAGGGAAATTTCCGAGATAATTAGAAAGCAACTAATTGTAAATGGTTAACCAGGAATCAACCATAAAAAATAGGATTGATTTATCAAAATTCTATTTCTTTCCCCCCACAGTGAATGCTTTTTTAGCAGAAACAGCCTTAACTTTGTTATCTGAAGGAAGATCCTATTGTCTAATGTACAATGTGCTCAATTTCCAAAAATGCATCAGGTAGAAAATGCAAAGCTAATGGGAGAAGTCAGTGGAGTGGCTCTACATCTGTTGTGGAGCCAGCACAGACATAAAAGGTTTAATGGCCTATTTCAGTGCTGTAATTCCATAGCATCAGCACAACTGCTTCACAGATTTGTCTTCACTTCTGGCAATATCTATGTGTATTGTTCAAAAATGGATTTAAGGCAAGCTATTAGACAAACGTGAAATATTTCTTTCAACTGAATAATCCAGATCATTTTAGAACAAGGTTATAACAAAGTTTACTACATAAATAATAAAAGTGAAAATGCCACACAGAAATCTCTGATGTAAATCAATTCTGAAAACACCTCAAACAAAAATTTGTAAAGTGATTCAAAAGAGACATGTCATCTTTAAATCTTCTGCGATGTACCCAACATCATTGCACCACTTACTCATGATAAGTACAAGCAGGAGAATTAAAGTTAAACTGTTCACTGTATCATCAAAAGTACCAATGAAGTGGGCACGAAATAGATTCCATTAAAAAAAAATATTTAAAAGAGCAGTTTAGGAAATAATAAAAACATAATCTAGTTAGTGCTGTGCTAATAGTTGTAAGTCAGAACATTTTCAACACATCATCTATAACATTGGCATTAACTAATCTACAAAAGAAAAAGAAGAATGGCCAACGCTACTGGATTTGTAGTCAAGTATACCTTTATCACTTCTAAGAATACTTTTCAAAGATTCACGTTTAAAACAGGAGTCAATTCATAAACCAGAAATTATGACTTGTTTAACAGGATTTAAATCGAAAGGAAATAATAATAGCTTGAAAAATGAAGCTTACCAAAGAATCAAATACTAAGGTGTCAAAAGTGTCACTGTCAGAATTCTCCATCATGATGTTAAAAAGTGCATCAAGTGTATCTTGCAAAAACTGAAAGAAAGTGGTTTAGATTAGAACAAACACAAACAAATGAAATATTAAATGTTTATTTCTTATATTTTCTTTTATGTTCCAAGAATAGCACAATGCCAGTGATAGTTTAACTATATCCCTATTTTACGTACAGAGGGAAGCGAATTTAATTTTTAATGTCTTCTTTATTTTTCTTTACTTCCTTTTCCCTTTTAAAAATAGGAGTAACACCTATTTTATTACCCTGTTCTTGTATTCTTGAACATTTTTCTTCAAACTTTGAACCTAGTTCCCTCTCAGGTGTCACAACTGACCTTGGCCTCAACAACTACTTAAAACAATCTTCAAAACGCCAGTTACCGTTTTGTAGCTTTTCCATTTGGAACTATCCTTTAAATCTAGGTCTCAGTACCTCCAGATAACATACAAAGTTGCATCTTATAATACTACTGCATGCTCCATAATATCCCACTAGCAACAATGAAGAAATGAGTCCACGTTTTGAGCGACACAGGAAAATGATACAATATCAGCACAAGACAATATTCTGCTACTGAAGTCTACAGCATCTGGCTCTAAGTCTGCAAAGACAATTTCTTTTTTGCATTCTTAAAATACGTAAACTAATTACAGATCAGGCTATGAAGATCTTAACACCAAATCACATCTGATCTGCTCCACTGATGCCCTCCACTTGGTGCCTGACACACTCGTCTCACTAGGCTGCCTAAACCAAATGATTTAGGTTGAATACAGATCGAGTATGCCCTTTTCAGGTTAAATACAATCTAACCACTATCAGAATAATTTCCAACCATGATGTTGCCTGCTGTTTCATATGATTAGTATTTTATCTCCATCCAGTTCCTGTACAAAAAGATTCAAATTATTAGTTCCTTGACATGGAAGCATGGCAGAGGGAAGAAATTACTGCCTTCTGGAACGGAGTGTCCAAAGTGGAAGACTATGAAATTGGAAAATTTTCAAAAACTGTTACATAACTGGGAAAGGATGCCAAGGTGAACTTGGGGACCTGCTTCAGAGCTTGGGATGTGGAATCTTCACAGTAGATAAGAATAATAATGCAGAATGTAGAGTGGTCCTGCGAAAAAACACAGCGACAGGGATTGGTCATGGTGCAGGTAGTATTGAAAGTGCGAGAAGCAGTGTGTAGGTATGTAAATGCACAGAGAAGCAACAAAGAAAATTCCACAAGAAGCCACATTAAATTATTGTTACTTTTTGTGGGGCAGCACCAATGAGGGATATCAGAATTTGGAAAATTGTATCATTTAAAGTCGATCCTGCTTCATACGTATTACAATTGGAGCAATCCCCAGCATTTTGAACCAGACCATTATTTAAAGTTCCTACATTTTTGGGATTTTTTTTATTCATTTAAGGGATGTAGGTAATGTTGGCTAGGCCAATATTTCTTACACATCCCAAGTTTGCCTTGAGATATTGGTGGTGAGATGCTTTCTCGAACCGCTGCAGCCCATTTGGCGCATATATTTACAAAGTGTTAGGGAAGAAATTTGTGGATTTAGACCTAGCAACAGAAGAACAACTCATATTTCCAAGTCAGGATGGGCAGTAGCTTGGAGAGGAACTTGCAGGTGGTGGTGTCCCATGTACCTGCTGCCATTGTCATTACGTGGTTGTAAGCTTGAAAGGCACCATCTAAGAAGCTAAGTTGCTACTTAGCATCAGTGTAGAGGGTGAATGTTTGTGGATGTGGGGTCAACCAAGTGAGCTGGTTTGTCCTGGATGGTTTCAAGTGGAAAGTATTCCACCATACTCCTGACATGCATCTCATAGACATGGGTAGACTTTGGGGGATCAGGAGGTCAGATCTGCTCTTGTAGCCAAAGTACATACATGGCTTGTCCAAATGAGTTTCTGTTCAACGGTAAAGCATCTCTCCTGTGCACTCCACTCCTGCCCACTTTGCCCATCCCCACCCCCAATTAATGTTGATAGTGTGGGAGTCAGAAATGCTAACTCCATTGAATGTCAAGAAGCAATGGTTAGAATCGGTCATTGGAAATCATCATTGCCTGGCACTTGCTTGGCTCAAATATTACTTGCTCTAATTACATGGAAAGGCACATCCTCATACCATTGTCATCAAACAGCTTCCAGTTATTTAAACACCTCCTGTAACACTTTAAAAATAGAGAATATATTTAGCCATAGACTGAAAAAAGGACCAAAATCAGTGGTATAGTGGACAGTGAAGATTACTAGGAGATCGTGATCAATTGGGTCAATGGACTAACAAATGGCAGATGGAGTTTAATTTGGAAAAAATGTGAGGTATTGCACTTCCACAAAACAAACAAGGGCAGAACTTGTACGATTAATGGTAGGGTGAACGGTAGCGCTGTAGAACAGAGAGATGTAGGGGTTCAGGTACATAATTGTTTGAAATTTGCCCCACAGGTAGACAGGGTGGTTAAGAAGGCTTTTTGCACATGTGCCTTCATTGCTCAGAACTTTGAGTAGGAGTTGTGATGTCATGTTGAAGTTGTACAGGATGTTGGTAAGGCTTCTTCCAGAGTACTGTGTATAGTTCTGGTCACCCTGCTATAAATATTATTAAATTGGAGAAGGTTCAGAAAAAATTTTCCAGGATGTTGCCAGGTTCGAGTTATAAACAAAATAAACTGGGACTTTTTTCACTGGAGTGGAGGAGGTTGAGGGGTGACATTATTGAAATTTATAAAATCATGAGGAGTATAGATAACAAGATTTTGTTCCCTATGTTGGGGGAGTTCGAAACTAGGGGCATATTTTTAAGGTGAGGAAGAAGTTTTAAAAAAGGATATGAGGGGCAACATTTTACACAGAGTGGTTCGTGCATGCAATGAACTGCCAGAGGAAGTGGTGGATGCTGGTACAGTTACAAAATTTAAAAGACATTTGGATAAGTACGTGAATAGGAAAGGTTTGATAGAATAAGGCCAAACGCAGGCAAGTGGGACTAGTTTAGTGTGGAATTATGGTCGACATGGACTAGTTGGAGTGAAGGGTCTGTTTACATTCATGTCATAGGGTCATACAGCATGGAAAATGTAACACGGTGAATAGCTCCTGACTGGGTAGCTGGGAAGAAGTGGCATAACCATTAAGAAATGGTAGTCAACAGAGATGGCAATTCAACACTTGCATGAAAAATTAAGCTGTGAAGTCTGAGATGATATTTCCACATATTGGGGATAAAGTTTGAAGGATTAAAGGAATTAAAAACTAAATAGCAAGTATAAACATGGCAGGAAAAGTAGGAAGCATTACAGAAATGGCATCATGAAAACAGCATGTCCGGAAATTGTTACAGGACGTACAAGTTTAAGTACACATAATATTGCCCAGCCGATTGTTGAATACACTTTGTTTTTAAAATACAGAAGATGACAACAGAATTTGGAGAAATCAGAAATACTCTACTGCATCAACGAATGGCTTCATTCTGCAAACTGAACCATTATAAGCAACTATATCCAAATATAAAACAAATCCAAACATAACATCTTACGTTTAAAACTACATTTGTAAATGTAACAGCATTGACTTTAAAAAGAATCATGTTGGACAAGAAGTACATGTACTCAAAAATGCGCCTCCAGGCTTCCTCTTGACCTACACCTTTTCTCCAGAAAAGTGCATTTTAAACAGTGTTTTAATTTCCTATATACAACTTAAGTGTCATTGATTTGCATTCAATGGTTATTTTAATTAATGCTTGTTGTCAATGAATGTACTTCAAAATAAATAATAAGTTTATTCTGGCTGCATCAGTCTGATGAAATGGTATTCTTCACCTTTTCGGAGAGACAGGAGAACACAATGTGCATTCCACGTCTCCAATGAACGAAGTCCCAGAATTCAGAAGCTAACTTTTAAATCTGGGCAAATTAACTCACACACATATAATGTTGCAGATTTCATGGGAAACTGAGTTTCATTCACTGTGATGAAGACTAAAGTGTTGAAAAAAAGCCTGAAATGTAGCAATCTTCCTGGTCATTGGACTCAATAGAATACACTGATCAACTGATACAAATTGCTGTTTGGAATCTCACCTGAAAGCACTCTCCTGGAACTAGAAAATTCCTTTTTCTAAAGACTAGATCTCAAGCTTTGTTATGGATGGATCGTATTCTAATACTTTGTCAGCATAAAACTTTTCAAATGAATTATGATTAACATTCAACTTCTGAAATGTGGGATCTAGTTCATTGGAGATGACGTACAATACACCTGTGATGAGTTTGGAGCAGGTCTAATGTCTTTGAAAGTTACACATCTATAGAAATGTAAAGCAGATACCATGATATCTATAAAAAGGAAATCTGCCAAAACTGAAAATATGCAATATGGGGAAGTGTGAAGTGACAAACTTTGGAAGGTAGATTGAGTAGAAGCAATTAAGAGTGAATGATACAATTCTTTAAAAGAGGAGCCAGGAACAGAAGTTCACAGATACAAACCGTTAAAAATAGCAGGACAAGATGATAAGGTTCTTAAAATAATTATATTGGACCCTGAAACAAACAGAGAACAAAGCTGGAAAAACTCAGGAGGTCTGACAGCATCTGCTGAAAGAGAAACAGTTAATATTTTGACTCTAGTATGACTCATAACTTGATTGAATTTAATATTCAGTTCGAAAGTGAGAAACTTGGGTCAGAAACTGTGTTTAATTTAAATAAAGGTAATTGCAATGAAATGAGGATAGAGTTATCTAAAGTGAACTGGGTGAATAGAATAGCAAGAATAATAGTCAGCAAGCAGCGGCTGACATTTAAGGAGGTAATTCATGACTCTCAGCAAAAATATATCCCAGTAAGAAAGAACAATTCAAAGAGAGATAAAGCAACCATGGCTAACCAAGAAAGTTGAAGAGATTATTTAGTTGAAAGAAAAAGGATACAAGGCCAAAGTCAATGACAGCCCCAAAAACTGGAATAAATTCAGAATCCTACAAAAGGAAAACAAGAAAGATGATAACACAG